TTAGCAAAAGAGATTGATTGGTTGGTTGGTTATTTAACTGGCATATCAACCACCATGGGTCATTAATGCCGAAACAGTTGGTTGTCATGCCAACCTCCATGGGCCGTTGAATGACAAAATCCAAATATTTTGTACTTATCTTTATGCCTTTAACAACAGATGTTTTGTATGAAATTTTATACTTTCAGAGTAAGCATAGGTTTTTTTTTTTTTTTTTTTTTTTTAAGAGATATAATTTACAGATAATATGTACTTTCTTCTATAAGTGTTGGAAGTAGCCTAATTCTTTTAGGTAGCCTATTATTTGAGAAACAGACACATGGTTGAAAAGCATAGAATAAGACAAGTTGGTTTGGTTTGTTTTGTTTTACAGCATATCAACCTCAATGAGTTATTTAATGCTGACAAGATTTTTATTGCTGGTAATATTTTTTTTTTCAAATATATTGCTGGTAAAATTTTTTTCTTTTAAATATCTATTTCTGGTAATATTTTTTCTTCAAAAATGTATCGCTTGTAATTTTTTTTTAAAAAAAAGAATAGCTGGTAATATCTTTTTTGAAAAATGCATTACTGGTAATAATTTTTTCTTCAAAAACTTATTGCTGGTAATAACTTTTTTTTACAAAATATTTCTGGTATTAAAACCTATTTTTACACTTTCATAGTGTTTTGACCCCAGTTTGGGGGTTAACTATTTGCCCATAGCTGGGACCCAAACAGGTGCTACCACCCCGGGTCAGGGTGGACCTGGGAACACCAGCAATTAAGAAGTAGTTCCACACTTCTCAAAACCTCCTGATCAGAGGACTTGATGCTGGATGTAGTTTATCATCATGCCCAGGATGGTAAGACAAGTTGGTTAAAATCCCTATTAAAACATCACAATCTGGGGATAAAATATGGAAATTGGTTACAAATTGTAATAGCAAATAAAGACTTTGCAACTGATTATTAAGATAAGAGTAAGAGTCATTTTGAATGTGGCTTTCATGATCAAATTAGGGTTGTGCTAATTAACCAGTTCATAATTGGTAATTTAATTATCATTAATAGAAATTGGCAAGAAAAACAAAAAAAACAAAAACAAAAAAAAAAAACAACTATACAAATTTATTCCGTCTAAGATAATTGATACTTTTTAAGCCAGGGATGAAATTTTTGTGATGTAATAAACAAGAATGACAATGTATGAAAATGGATTAATTAATCAGCAAAAAAGTTAAGGATTAATTGGCAGCTGCAGAGAGAACCAATTACCAATTAATTGGTGCAACCATAACTTAATCAAAATTCATTTTTTTTAGCTTATTCTTCATGTATTGTTCCATTTATCCTTTCTTTGTCAATTTGGGTCAGAAAGAAAAAAAATTCCTTTAATGAAAATAAGTAAATCACTTATTTAGCAAGGAGAGGAATAATTTTAAGCTTAACTGTATACAAGAGACCATGCTCTGCCTTCAGATAAAAAAAGTGGCCAAAAGAAGCAGGAAGAGAAGCTAGGGAGGGAGGGAGGTAGAGAAAGAAAGAGAGAGATAGTGAAAGAAGGAAGAGCTATTTTTATAGGATTCCTTCACACTGTCCTTGGCAGGTGCAGGCACTTGCATATTGTTCCGCAGGTTCAAAAAGATAAATTCAAGCACTAATTCAAATTTTTCATTTCTATGCCATCAACTTTCACTTGAATACCAGCATTCAAATCAATACTATCGCTCCCTGATAACATTTGTCGCATAATATTGGGATATCTGTAGTGCCATGTCATGCATGTGTAGGTGTCCCTGCATGCATTTCCAGTGGGCAAGCCTGAGGGCACATTATGCTCTCTGCTCTCAGCTACACACTGGCTAGTTTGTATTGCCATTGACGACACATAGTGACACTTATGGACTAATTATTTTTTATTTTTTATTTTTTTTTATTTCTCTTTCTCTCTCTCTCTTCAAAACATATCTCATGGAAATCACAACAAAAAGAAATAAAATTAAACCAGCTAACAAAAAAAAACAAAAAAAACACCCTACCCTCCTCAATCTTACTTCAATATTTATGGTATCTGTTCCAACTTCTGCAGTGTACAATCTTTTCTCCTGGAAAAGTCACCAGATATCTTTGCCCACTGTGAAACCAATTTGAATTCTTTCATTGCTACCAATAAATTCTTGGTTCCAAGGTATCTTCCCCTTTGCTGATTCAAGCTTTCACATGCATGACCTTGGTGTTTATATCTGGAATAATTTTCCAATGATCTTGGTTCTTTCATGTACTCTCTTTTGCTACTAAACTGTCTCTTTTTCATTATTTACATTATTCGGACTATTATCCTCATCTTTGTCGCCATATTTATTACAATGTTTCGGCCGGTGTATGCTCTGGCTTTCTTCAGGTGGTTGAAATCTCGAACTGAACCCTTTATTTCGTTCACTGGGGTAGACTGTTCTAGCTCCACGTGCCATGTTTAATGGATGTCAGTTATCAGTTATCTCCTGTTAATTTCCCT